AATTTCAATTACATATTTTTGTAAGTACTTTTTCTACAATCTGTTTTAATATATATATATATATATATATATTAGTATGACACATGTATACTACACGGGTTCTTGAAAAGAAATTTTTGTAATAAAAAAAAAGTATATTTTTTTTGAAAAATTCCATTGGAAGGCCTAACTTTTAGTATATATATTAATTTAATGCCTGAATTTTATAGTTTTTCAAAACAAGGCTTACATTTTAGATTATTCTCACATTAAGGCTTACTTTTTAGTTAACTTTTCATTATAAGGCCCAATTAACTTTATATTTTCATATAAATATGTAAAACAACTATTATGTGATTAAAATTATTATTATTATTATTATTATTTTGTAATTTATATTTTACATACTTATAATAAAAAAATAATAAATATCTTTAGAAAAATTATATTAATAAAAAATGAAACTATATAAATTACAATGATGCGAAACTATATAAATTATATTTATGCAAAAAGTTTAACAATGAAAAATTATATCCTTGAAAATAGATGTTTATATAATTTCATTTTTTATTAATATAATTTTACTATCTTAGTTTCCCATCATTGTAATTCCAATATTTTATCATTGTAATTTATATAGTTTTATTTTTTATTAATATAATTTTACTAAAGATATTTATTATTTTTTATTATGAGTATGTAAAATATAAATAATAATAATAATAATAAAAATTTTATTCACATAATAATTGTTTTACATATTTATATGAAAAGGTAAAGTTAGTTGGACCTTATAATGAAAAGTTAACTAAAAAGTAAGCTAACTTAAAATGTAAGCCTTCAATTGAAAAAGTATAAAATTCAGGTCTTATATTAATACATATACTAAAAGTTAGGCCTTCCAATAGAATTTCCCCTTTTTTGGCCAGAACGAAAAAAATTAGTACATAAACTTATCAATATTTTTATGGTGAAATTATAGAAAATAATTGAGTAACAAATGACTAATATAGTATATACTATTAATAATGACACACATTTTTATGAATTATAATTAATAATTTTGTTATTTTCAATATAATATTTACTAATATATTTTATTTGTAACATTATAATAAAACTCAATCTTTTGTATATCTGGTTAACTGGAAACATGAGGTTGTAGAATTTTTTATATTCATTATGTTTATACTTAATCTATGCATAGTTATTTAAACTAAGAAAATACACTAAAATAAATGAGAGAAAGAGAAATATTAAAAATTATATAATCCTCTCGAGATAACATTCCACCCGAGTCAAGTCAAATACTTCATATTCAAACCTCGGATTTTCTCTCAAGGAATACTATTCGGAGTTTCGCTCACTAACTTGTCTTCAAAGCACAAAAAAAAGTAAAATAAAATAAAACCTTTTAATCAAGTTCGGATGGTTGATTTTAAGCTAATTCTAACTAAGAAATTAAAAGAGATTGATAAAGATGCAAAGTTTAATTAAAGACTCAAACTTTACCTAAGACGGAGTTTTTAAAACTCGAGAAAAGACGAAAATAAAGATAAACGAGCTAAGTCTAACGTAACTAGAGACTATAGTCAAACATTCAGTTACGAAGTAACCGTCTTTTCAACAATTCTCGATTTTTACCTTGAAAGATTTGACCTTTAGCCAACTAATCACACTAGGTAAGCAAAACAAAAGAAAAGATAGAACTCAACGAAAACCAAGTCAATCCACATGAATTCCGACCAAGACACCATTTCCGCCGCAAACACGTTGTAAGCAAAAATAGAGCAATGTCGAAATACTAAGTCCTAAACCAAGCACTTACTTTCCTATTGCATGCCCAGACGAAATAAATGAGAAAAGCTTGAAATTTTAATAAAAACGACATTGCCGGAAAATTTGGCAGAAAATTCAAGTCCTAAAAGCTCCAAACATAAACTAGAAAAAAAA